ATGTTGAAAGTGTGGAAGAATTCATATCCCTGGGAGCAGCTCTCAACTCTGATACAAGTTGATATATAAATACCCTTCTCTGCTTGATTCTTACAGAGCTCAACTCTTAGATTATGTGTTTTTTAGGAGACCCTTTGAGGAGTAAATTTCAGTAACTTGCAGTGGTGGCTGGATGGATGAGATAGTTCCTTATTGTTTGCTTCCTATTCCTTGTTTCATACACCATTCTCTCATAGGTGTTCCCTTCACCCTTCAAGTAAACCACTTTCCCTGAATTCTTGTCTCAGGATTCAAAGACATCAATCATTCTTCTAATAGTCAATGTCTATTTAGTTTCACTGATTTAAAAAAAAAAATACATGCCTTATCCTGATAGCATCTTGATTTTTCTGATCAACAAGCCCATTTACATTTATTCTGTTCTCTTTTAACTTGAGACATGACATCAAGGATTTTTCTCTGTTGTTATTTTAAAATGTAGGTTCAAAAAAAAAAAAAGAGTTTTCTTGATTGTTCTTCTCTGCTTTAGTCAGGTTTTCATTACTGTGAACAAAAGAACTGACAAGAACAATTTAGAGGAGGAAAATTTAATTTTGGCTCATGATTTCAGAGGTCCAGTCCATGGCTAGTGGGCTACATGGCTGTGGGCCAGAGGTGATGGTGATGCAAAACCTAAGGACAGAAAGCATGGAGGAGGAAAATAGCTCAAGACATGGCCACGAGGAAGCAGAGGGAGCTCCACTCACCAGGGATGAAAATATGAACTTCTAAGACTTACCCCTAGTGCTCTGCCTTCTTAAGCCATACCTTACCCATCTATACTTATCACCCAGTCAATCTATATCCATAGATTAACCCACTGAGTAGGTGACATCTCTCATCATCTTATCATTTCACCTCTGAAAATTCTTTCACTGACTCATACCTGAGCTTTGGGGGAAATACCTCTTATCTAACCTTAACATTCCTTCTTTGTGGATTTTTTTTTTTGGCTGTGTTTTGATTGTCCTTAGACAATGTCTTTTTACTCATCATCAGTTTTAATTTCTTTTATTATAAGAACCCTTCTTTGAGTATATTTTGTTTCATTAGACTATCAGAAGATTTTCTACTTTATTTTTATTCAGGCTCATTCAACTTTGAAAGATCCTGCCACTCTGAACAAGTTGATAAATGAATATTTTTCTAATCCACCAGTTTCCACTGTGCAGCCTGATGCTATGTGGGACAGAACTGCTTCAATCTTTTCTTTCCAACTTGCCCAGTAGACTCATGTTATTACTGAATGTTTGTCCTGGAGGGTATGGTAGTATCCCTGTATAAATTAAGTTCTGTGTCTTTTTTTCTTATCTCAAAACCTGCCCCCTTTTGGAGACTTTTTATATGTTTTTGGTAGGGGCCCATAGAAATTATTAGAAGCTAGCCAAATGGTTGTGTACAGGTAAAAATGTATATAATTACCAGGCAGAACCAGAAATTTTACTCATAAAATACTTGATGCACTGGGAAGCCTATGTGCAACTTTTGTTTTCAGAGGAAAGGTACTAGTTCAGATTTTGCTCTACATTATTTTTATTATTTTTTGAATACCATGGCTATCATCATAATTATTATTTTTTTTAAAGAGAGAGAGAGAGAGAGAGAGAGAGAGAGAGAGAGAGAGAATTTTAATATTTATTTTTTAGTTTTTGGTGGACACAACATATTTGTTTGTATGTGGTGCCGAGGATCGAACCCGGGCCGCACGCATGCCAGGCGAGCGTGCTACCGCTTGAGCCTCATCCCCACCCAACATCATTATGATTTGAAGACCATTCACTACATTTTTTGAAGGTTCATGGCTGAGATACCTAGAATAAAAGACAAATTAGTAAGAGACAAACATACAAATTTATTTAATATTAATTTTATGCAATGTAAGAGCCTTCAAGAATGAAAACCCCCCAAACAGAAAAAAACTGCATTTCCCCCTTAACTTTGATAAAGAGTAGAAAATTAAACATAAATATGATAGGATAAAAATCAGGCCAGCATGAAGGCACATGCCTGTAATCCCAGTGTCTCAGGAGACTGAGATAAAGAGGGTCACAAATTCAAAGTCAGCCTCAGCAATTTAGTAAGTCCCTAAGCAACTTAGTGAGACCCTATCTCAAAATAAAAAAGTTTAAAAAGAGTTGGGGATGTTATTCAGTGATTAGCACCCCTGGATTCAATCTCTGGTACTACAACAAAAAGTAGGTATGATCTAATGGTAATAACTGAGGAACTTAACAAGATCTGCTTCTTTTGTATCCCTGTGTCTTCATCTCTTTGTTCTTGGTATATGGAAAAGCCCTCTAGAAGCCCTATTTTGCAGGAGCTCAAATAATTTTGTTATGACCTTCAGTGGAGAAACAGTGGGTTAGAACTTTCTGCTTCTGCCATTTTCTCAAATGCTGATGTGTCATATTTTGGGGTAGTGGGTCTTGAACCCTGTCAGTGGGTAGTTCTGTAGTTTGGAACTCAGAGTTGTAATAAAGAAGTAGGTGAAAGTTGATTGCCAAGGGAGACATACTAAATGTTGCCAAAACATCCTTTGGTTGCAAAAATGTGATGGCAATAATGGGAGTTAAAGTAAACCAGATAAGTAGCTGTGCAAATGTTTGTAAGGAATCGACTTTTAGGTTCCAGGGATTTAAGATCCCCAAGGAGAATTCTCAAGTTAACAGTAGGTGGTCTACCATGTTTTAAAAGACACATGGATCCAGTTAAACACTTGTCTTTTTCTTTGTTAAACAGGTGATTTGTGAATTTGGGCCTGAATTGAATGGGTGAGCACAATAGAGAAAAATAGAAAGGTAAGGACCACAAAATGTACCTTTTCCCCACAAAGTACCCAGCCTTTCTTTTTAATAAATATTTAAAGAAACCACTGTCAGGGCATGCCAAATTATTAGACGTTCCCAAGTGCCCACATGTCAATCTGATTCTGTTGTCTCCTGATTTTTGTATATACTGGCAATGATGCTACTTGTTGAAGTCATATTAAATTATTAATAGAAGTAGGTGCACATAAATTATAAATTTATATTATTACCATGTTACATCTTATCATTTTTTCACTTACAGGAGAAAGAATATCATTAAGGTAAATCCATCAACCTTTCTTTCATCAAAACCCCTATAAGCCATTCATGCTGTGACTAAATTTAATACTCTAATTACTAACAGAGAACTATTAATAAGTTATAAATCTCCAGAAAGTTCTTATTATCTCTGCCTTTACTGATGTACTTGTAAGTTTCCTTAAATACAAACTATTCAGAACCTTGAAGAGATTTTAAAAATATTAGTGCTTGTTATGAACTGAGGCTCTAAATGTTCTTGGAATCTAAGGCTGAACATGTTGGCAAAAAGTATTTACTTCCTTTGAAAGCTAAAGAGTATAATGGTTTGAAATAGAAGCAGTTGTGGACATTAGCTACCAATGTCATTGTTAACTAATCTCCTTTCTCATATGGGTGCCTTGAATTACTAATCAGTGAACTTGTGCTCACCTGGTTTGGGGTATTCAGATCAAGGCCAATGAGGATGGTTGTGATCATTAAGTAAGAGTCTAAAATAAGAATCTATAAATGGAAGCTGTCAAAAAACACTGTGCTAAACATGTACTATTACATGTACTCTGCCAGTGTTTTTCATGAAATGTCTAAATGCATGAGAGTTGTCACAGGTTTCTTTCATCATCTAACTAGTACTAGAATAATCCACTTGATATTTTCATGTGAAGTGTTTGGTGAAGCATTTTTGATATTTTGTCCTTTTTTCCCTGAGTTTTCTTTTTAGCCTTTGATCCTCATTCTCTTCCATGTAATTTTATTTCTTTTTCATTTAAATTGGCTTTCAAAGGGAAGACCATTAAGAAACACTGTGTAGCTGTCAATCAGTAGGCCCAGAAAGTTCTTAAATGATAATAGTTGATTCAGCACACTCGATCCTTGGAGTTATCTGCATGGCAGAGATGTCAGTGTATTGTTTCCAAAACCGACTTCTACATGCAAGGAGTAACAGAGCATGTCCCTGCTTCTTTTATCTTCCTCAGGAGAGCAACCAAGTGGCATAATCAATTCTTCCAGTCTTTGTATTTCACCTGATGTTTACTGTAGGCATTGCTCTGGGTTCTGCCTTTATTTTACCTCTTTAAAATCTATTTTACTCTTTCTTTTTTATCTTAGAAAAAGGATAATATTATTTTGGTGCAAGGTCATGTAGCATTTCATTAAACACTCATAATATTTTTCTTTACTCAGCATACACAAACCAGTGAAAAGTTTCCCTGATTATGGAAAGATTTGTAAGACTCTGGGTTTACAAAGAATAACCTTTTTACCAGGTGCTGAGGGAATTGGAACTGTGCAGATGGTTGTGACACATTAATTTTACTGGTCACTGACATATATTATTGGACCTAAGAGAGATCAAGCAGAAGCTTGATATCTTTTTTTCTATGAATATCAAAATCAAGGAAGTATGAATTTGGTTTTTCATAGATGAAAATAACTCTTTACTGCTTTATAAAATTCAAAGACACAAAGGAAATCCCAGATTTTCACAAATGATCAACTTGGTTTTGTTGTTGTTATTGTTGAGTTTGCTGTGTATATTTCCTAAATTGCTTAATTAACAAGATCAGAATATCATTTCTGTTGTTAAAGGTCAAAATAGGAAACCCTAGGTATTTTCTTTATATTGCTATTTTTTTTAAGCAGTCAATATCAGCCACGTGGAGGAATGGTCACTAGTAGACCATGGATACTTTTGCAGTGACATTTGCTCAATAAATTTTTTCATGGCAAGAGTTGAAAAAAGTCAAATGGTGTGAAGAAGTAAATGTCATATTCTCACAATGCAATATAAATGGAATTCATAAGGGCTTGGTGACTCACAAGACAGGTTAATTAAAGCCTCCACGTGGTATATAGAAGTCAGCACAAAATCTGCTGGACCATGTTATTTTCACAACAGCGTTGAAAGAATGCTCTATTAGAATATCTAGCAGAGGCTGTGATCTGGTATTAATCTGTTATTGCTTTCTTTGGGATTATTTAATCTACTTTCCATTCCCAGGAAGGAATGTTTTATAGGTTAGTTTTAACATGTTACAAAAAGTCAATGTGATCTCTGTCTCACAGAAGCTGCTCTGTCTATATCAGGAACGCCATGTGAGTTCCACAGCCTAAATGAGGAGAAAAGCAGCATTCAAGGTATGGAGACTGTCATTTTCTGCAATCACCACATGGAATCATGATTAGGAATCATTATTCCTTGTTGCAAAATTAGGTTAAATGACTCTTCTACCCACTAAAGGTAATCTCCTTTTATTTTTTCCTTTTCTCTAAACTCCTCCAAATTTTGTCTAATTTCAGTTCCACTATGTTTAAACTCATTTTATCTTATGTGAGATGACTTCTGTCTTGATCATTCTATTACATACTATTTTGTCTTAAAAATCATTGATCATTTCCTACTGACCAATTCCATCTCTTCTTTTCATTTTTGTCTTCTTTGACTATCTTGCTAAATGCAGGATTGATAAAATCTATTATTTTGTTAATGTATTTTCTGGGACCAGGTATCCAAGGACATTTGTTTACTTCCTCTGCATGTTAATCTCCAGCATTTACTATGATTTAGACACAATGTTTAGAGTGAGCAATGGCATTGGAGAATAATGCAAAGACTAATTTTCATAGTTACTATGGATATAAATCTGCTTCTATGGCAATCATATTTCCAATATACTTACTTGGTAAATATTTGTGGAACACCCAGTATATGCCAAAGTAATGAACAATTCAAAATTTGAGACTCCTGAGTACTCAAGCAAACATTCATTCATTTATTCATTCAAATGTATAATTTATAGAAAACCTTACCTATTGGGTTCTAGTTTACATACTAAAAATACGATAGAAAGAAAAAAGTTCCTGTTCTCAGGGGATTTATATTTTGCTGGGAAAATAGATAATAAAATGGTTGAGCATTATAATATGACAAATGCCATTAAGGATAAATTAAATAAGGTGCACAGCTGTAATCCCAGTGACTCAGGAGGCTGATACAGGAATATCGTGAGTTCAAAGCCAGCCTTAGCAACCTAGCAAGGCCCTAAGCAACTTGGCAAGACCCTCTCTCTAATAAAATACAAAATTGGGCTGGGGATGTGGTTTGGTGGTTAGGCACCCCTAGGTTTAATCCCTGGTATTAAAAAAGTAAAAAACAATATAAACAATATTATGTTAAGGTTGGAAGGGTTAAGGTTGCTATTTTCTGTTTGAGAGTTTAGGGATACCTGTTTTAAAATGGTGGTTTTTGAGGTTTGAATGGGAGAGGGGAGTGAAGCTGGTAGATTTATGTAGATAGGTGATTTTCAGCAGAAGGAAAATAAAGTGAAAAGTCTTAAGGTGGGATTTTATTTTGTGTGCTTCACATCCAGGAAGACCATTGAGTCTGGAGGCAAATGAGGAAGTAAATGGTATCTGAAGTAAGCAACTCAGTTTATTCAGGGCCTGTTAGGCCATGGTTTGAATAGTAGCAGGAATCCATTAAAGGATTTTAAAGATTCCTATAGCTGCCAAAGAAAATTAACTATGAAGGGTGTAAGAAAGGGTGCAAAGGGCCCAGTTGGAACCAATACACTAACTAATCAAAGGGAGATGTTATGAAGGTGCTTGGCTAGGGCTATCACTATGAAATTTTTAAGAAATCTTACTCAGGATTTGTTTAAAAGTTCGGTACTACATAAATGGCTGACAACTAGGGGTAGGATTATATAAGAACTATAGAACACAATTATGACTTCAGAGTTTTTCCCCTAAGCAAGTGGGAAAGACTAGAGAGCATCAGATTTACTTATACTACTTCCTAAAATGAAAAAAAAGCTGAGAGCAATCAGGCTTAGCATGAGAAATCAAGAGTTTGGATTTGTTCATAGTAAATTTTTGAGACCTCATAGACATCCTAGTACAGCTATCAAGTGGATTGTTGGATACATTATCATGCAGAAAGTTAATACTGATAAAGAAGAAAAATCTAAAAGTAATCTAGGTAGCAGTAGGAGGAAGAGTAAGCAAAAGATAATGAAGTGAAAACAAATTTGTGAATATTTTGTATGCAGTATCCCTCAGTAGAGAAGGACTCAGTTATCAACTGTATCTAATGTTGTGAAAAAATGAATAAAATATATAGTGAGAATGTCCATTAGATTTGGCAAAATGGAGGTCACTGGCAATCTTATTGTAATTTTTTTCAGAGAAGTGAGAATAACAGAATGAGCGGGGTTGGAGTTAAAAGAGAATTAGAACTGAGGAAACAAAAAGAGACAATATAGATAAGTCTGATGAAGAGTTTTTTAATAATAGAAATGAGTTGCTCATTGGAGAAAAACACTGGTAAAAAGAAAAATAATTTGTCATTTTTTCAGTAGAAAAAGTGATATGATAATTCTATGCTACAAGAAATATTCTGAAAAGAATGAAAATATTAGGATTAAATTGAACAGATATTAGTAGTGAAAATGGCAGCATTGGCATAGAATAAAAAATAGTAACCTAGTATCAAATTCCAGTATGTTGGAGTTCAAAGATTGTCAACACTTCTGGTCATCTTCCGCAATGACCTCTCTGTCCTAGAGTTAGTGTGTATTAGTAACCTAGTGCTGCATAGCAAAGCATCGCCCAAATTAATGACTTAATGAAAAACAATAACAATTTAGTATCTTATAATGCCAGGATATGTAGACTGGCAATTTGGGAGTAGCTGAGTTTAGCAGCTCTGGATCAGAGTTTTTAGTGTCATTTGAGCCTACAGTCATTTGGACTTGACTGTGACTGTAAGATCCAATACCAAGAGTGTTCACTCATTTGGCTGGTAAATTGGTGCTAATAAGGTGAATACTCTTTAGTGTGACCTCACATTATGGTGGCTGGATTCACCAGGAATGAGTGATAATGAAGAGACTAAGCCCAAAGCTCCATTGCATTTATGACACAGTCCTCAATATTATAAACTGACACATCTATCATATTCTATTTTCCATATAAATCAACCCTGATTCAGTGAGGTGGTAAGACCACCCCAAGACCATAAATATCACAAGAGAATTATTGGTAGTCATCTTGCAGATAGATTACCATAACCACCAAACTTCTTTGAACTTTTAACCTTTCAGTATCCTCAACTTTCAAATAAGAAAGTTTTGCCATATAAGCTGAAGTTTTTTTTTTTTTCTATATCTAAAATTTCTTGGTTTTATTTTTTTGCTGGACATATGGCTTTTAAAGGGAGCATATGAAGAAGAGGGGTTAGAGTCAGCTGGAATTTTCTGTTCCCCAGCCTCTTACTAATTTCTGTTTTGTTCAATGATTCTTTTTTGGAAAGTAGGGTATATGATGGCTCTGCATATTCCAAAGTGCAATAAGTAGCATTTTGAATAGCAAAATTATCACCAGCTGGTTCATAATGTAGACTAGTGTTTAAAACAAAACAACCACTCCCACCAAAACAAAAATTCTCCTGCTGCATTTGTTGACTTACTGAATTCTGATTAGGAAACGTAGTCTAAAAAGTCTTTTAGGAACAATATTAGAATCCTTAAGAAAAGAGGGTATGTGCAGAAAAATGATTGATGTTCTAATGGACAAATCCAAGAAAGGTTTTGGATGAAGAACTGAGTTTGAGATCTAGCTGTGTCTTATCCAAATAGCTAATCTTCAGCAATAACCTTGTCTATGCAAATCTGTTTCCTCACATGAAAATGAGATGGTGGTTACCATTCCACAAGATTCTTTTGAAAAAGTTAACTATAATTCACCATGTGAAGTGACTATTGTCATGCCTACCACATAATAGGTGCTTAATTATTGCTATTTTATCTCTGGCCTATGCTATTCCCTCTTCTTATTAAGAACCCACAAACATTGAAACAGTTATATTTACAATATATGAAATCTGATGAGTGGTTATATCCAAAATAGTTAAGGAATTAAAAAAAAAAACTATATAATGATGAATCAAGGAACTTGATTTAAAAATGAATCTGAATAGACATTTTTCAAGAGAAGACATGCGAATGACTAACAGGTATATGAAAACATGCTTAATATTACTAATCATTGGAGATATGTAACCTGAAACCACAATATTAGTTATCACCTGTTAAATTTGCTGTCATCAAAAAGTCAAAAAAGCTAATGTTGGTATGCCGCAGTCTGGCTGGGCACAAATAACCGAGCCACCACAAAGCACTTGTATGTTCAAACAGGAAACTTTATTGCCCAAACTCCACCAGCACTCCATGCACACTCCCTGGGAACTCTTTCCCACTCCACTGGGCTGCTCATGCACTCACTCTTGGAACCCCGAACTCAACTGGGGAACTCCAAAGTAGGGCTCTGAGGCAGAGGCAGCAAGAGCTGCCCTATTACCAGACATTAAAGGTCCAATATACAATTGAATACACAGCTTAACATAACCATCATCATCTCAATGGCTCCCTGGCATCACCTCTCAACCACTCTTTTCTGGCATAATGCCATGCCTCATCTAAGGATGCAAAGAAAAGGGAATGTTGAATGCTATTGGTGTGAATGTAAGTTGATATAGTCATTGTTATGATTTGGATATGGTTTGTGTTGGGAAAAGTATAAATGGCAGCTGTACCCCAGAGAAAAACCCCAACATGGCACCTAAGGACCTCTTCTTCCTACCTTCCTCTTTTCTGCAGTGGCGGGAACTCTCCCGCCGGTGCCAATTTCAAATCTTGCTGGCGGGGAACCTTAGCCCCAATAAGAACTAATTCCTGGGCTCCTATCTGGAAGAACTTGCCAATAAACCGGTGGCCTGCCATTTATCTAAGCCCTACCATCTTCCCCTTAGTTCTATATAAGCACACAGCTTTTTGCAATAAAATTGGAATTCTCCCCTCGAAGTGTCTTTGCGTGGGGAATTCTTTCAGTTTGTCATTCAAAAGTTCATAAGCTGGAAGCTTGGTTCCTTTTAACAGCACTAAGGTGGTGGAGCCTTTAATAGGTGCAGCCTAGTTGGAGATGATTAGATCATGGGGCGCCATTTTGGAAAGCATTAATGTAGTTCTCACAGGTTCAAGATGATTCTCAGGAAAGCAGATTGTTACAAATTGAGGCTACCTCATGATCATGGCCCCTTCTTCATGTGACCATTTCCTTTTCTATTTCTTTACCATGATATTACACAATCTAGGGGACTCTTTCTAGATGTCAGCATCATGGCTCTTTAGACTTCCAGATACCAGAATCAAAATCCAAATGAACCTCCTTTTTAAAACATTA